CTGCTGCAGTGGGTTGCCATGGGCTACTGTGTGTAGCCAGCAGCCAGCGTGAGCGGCCAGCAGCCGCAGTGAGCGGCCGTCCAGAAGCTGGCGACCGATCTGCCTCGCCCGGAAAGAGCGCAATGATGGTGCCAACTTGGGCCAGTGAAGCAATGTCCTCCACAACTAGATTGAAGAACAAAACGACAGCAACTTGTCTGTTTCCCTTCCCCCAATTCCCCATCACTGTTCCCATCTCCCCAATTCCCCAATAATAATAATTTTTAAAAATCTTAAAAAAAATTGTATTCTAGTAATTATTCCCTTTAAGGGAGGCTCTGCTGCCTCCTTGCCACTGAAAGCTGTTTCTTAAAATTGTGCCGAATACCACCATGTTCCATGTGGTAAATGCACAGGGGTGGGAAACACCTTATGCCTCTCACTACTCTCTGATGTCTGCATTTAGTAGGAGGTGAGGCTGGAGAAATAAACAGGGGGCCAGAGCGTGCTGGGCCTTACTGGCTCTGGAAAAAAGTTTGGAGTTTCTTTTAAGGACATTAGGAAGCCATCCAAGGGTTTTTTAGGCAAGGGAAAAAAAGGATCTAATTCCCACTGGAAGACTGCACATCCTGCTGCGTGGAGAAACGCCCAGAGCAGCAGAGGTGGCAAGGTGGGAGGCTGCAGCTGGAAGCCAGGCAGGAGAGGACACGAGTCGTGATGCCGAGATGGAGAGGAGGAGGATTCCAGTGATATTTTGCAGGTACAAAGATGGTAGTGAGAGTTCAGAAAAAGATGAAGCAAGAATGATTACAGGTAGTTGGTGGTGGGGCACGGGAGTAGGTTTGGGGGCGGGGGGCAGAGATGAAGAGTCCTGCTTGAGCAGTCACTACAAAGTGCCCAGGAGGTAATGAAGTAGAGGGGTCATGTAAGCAGTGGGAGATGGGCATCTGGTGCTCAGGGGAGAGGGCAGGGGTACAAATATGGGAGCCATGGGGTAGTGTTTAATATTTAACTCCATGGACCTGGGCAATATCACCAGAGAAGAGGGGGACAGAAGATGCCTGAGAAGGGTGAACACTCAGAAAGAGGCTGAGGAAGAGAAGCCAGGGAGGTAGGAGGAAACCCAGCAGAGTGATGTCACAAAGCCAAGTGTTTCAAGAAGAGTGGCCAGTAGCGCCAAATGCCTGAGAGGTAAGAAAGATGGGGCCAGAAGACTAAATGTCATGTGTGCCCGACAAGACAGCTGCAGTGGAGTGGCAAGGGTGGAAGCCAAGGTCGAGTAGGTTGAAGAGTCATTGGGAACTGAGGAAATGAGAATAGGCATAAAACCCTCTTTTTGAGAAGTTCTACTGGGTATGCATATGGGAGGCAGATAGAGAAATAAGGACATAGCTGGAGGGAATTTTTTTTTTTAAGATTTTTATTGGGGAATTGGGGGGATGGGAACAGCGCTGGGGAATTGGGGGAAGGGGAACAGACAAGTTGCTGTCCTTTTGTTCTTCAGTCTAGTTGTGGAGGACGTTGCTTCACTGGCCCAAGTTGGCACCATCATTGCGCTCTTCCCAGGTGAGGCAGATCAGTCGCTGGCTTCTGGACGGCCGCTCACAGCGGCTGCTGGCCGCTCACGCTGGCTGCTGGCTACACACGGTAGCCCATGGCAACCCACTGCCACAGGGGCTGCAGCCTACGCCGTCACCGGCGACTCTCGGCAGCCCAGCTCCAGGTTGAGCTGTTGTTCAGCATCTTAGCTGTGGAGGGCAGTGTCACTGGCCCTCATATGTGGGATCCGAACCGGGGCCCTCTGGCATCCCAAGCGAGTTCTTAACCATCGCACCACTCAGCTGGCCCTGGTGGGAATTGATTAAGCGAAGTTTTTCTTTCTTTTTAAATATCCTTTTCCAAGTACTCATTCAAGTGCTTTTTTTAAAAAAAAAACAGCTTTTATTGAGATATAATTAACATACTATACAATTCGCCCATTTAAAGTGTACAGTTCTTTGTGACAATATGAATGGATCTTGAGGGCATTAAGCTAAGTGAAATAAGTTAGAGAAAGACAAATACCATATGCTCTCACTTACATGTGGAATCTAAAAAAACAAAACAGTGATCTCATACACACAACAGATTGTGATGGTTGCCAGCGGTGGGGTAGGGGTGGTGGTGGGGGTGGGTTGGTAGGTAGGGGGGTGGGAAAATGGGTGAAGGGAGGCAAAAGGTACAGACTTCCAGTTATAAAATAATTAAGTCCTGGGGACATAATGTACAGCATGGTGACTGCAGTTAATAATACTGTATTGCATATTTGAAAGTTGCTAAGAGAGTAAATCTTAAAAGTTCTCATCAAAGGAAAAAAATGGGAACTATGTGTGGTGATGGATGTTAACTAGACTTGTTGTGGTGATAATTTTGCAATATATACAAATATCAAAACATTGTGTTGTACCTCTGAACTAATATGTTATGTTTATCACACAATAAAATTTTAACTTTACAGTTC